GCATCCGAGTCTGCTTTTAGTGCAGGTAACAGGGTATTGGACGAACGAAGATCTAGACTTAAAGAAAATATTTTGGAAGCTCTCATATGCGTGAAAGATTGGATATTCGCAAATCGAATGATGCAAGATAAAATTAATGATGATATTGCTGAAGATTTCAAAAATCTTACAGTTCATGAAGATTGATTGAGAAACAAATATATAATTTTTCAACAACTAAATTATAGTTAATAGTTAAGATTTAAGTAGGCGACAAGCTAGTTGAGATATACTTAAATTATAAATTATAGTAAAAGTATGTGACAACCTAGTTGGGATATACTTTGCTATAAATATATACTTTCACATAATTAGAAATGCATTTAATTGATAAATTTCAATTATTAAATTTGAATTCTATGTAAATAGTTCTTGATATAAATATGAATTTATCATTTTGTTCAATTCCTAGTTTACATTTAACAAAAAAAAAACCAAATTTGCTATTAATATAAAAAATTTTTGGAACAACCCGCGACCCATAACCCGTGACCCGCAAACCGCGACCCGTATGGGCTTGACCCTGATGGGTCAGCGGGTGGCCTGGGTTGTAGTCCAAAATTTGTGGGCTGACCCAGACCGACGATCAACCCGTAGCGGATGGGCTTTTTTTTACGCGAGTCGTTACCGGGTTCGTATGTTGGTGGGCCGACCCGGCCTGGTCCACTTGGATTGACACCTCTAGCGCCTTGTTATAACGGGGGGCAGAGCCGTTGCACATAGCGATGCCGAAAGTGATGGTATACACTGGGGAATGAGTGGGTGGTAGAGAGAGGATATAGAGAAGAAAGAGAATGAATCGGGTTTGGGATTGCTCTGCCCCGAGCAGCGGTGTCGAAAAGGTATGGTAGACTGGGGGTTGGGTGGGTGGTAGAGAGAGAGAGAGAAGGAAGAGAATGAATCGGGTTTGGGGATGAATGATTGATTAAATTTTTATTAATTACAATTAATAATTCTATTTACCACCTAATTTGTAAAAATAAAACTTAAATTCCCTGATTTTTGAAATGTAATCTTTAAATGCAGATTTTGAGGTAATTTTCCCTTTTTCTATTTCGTGAAGAAGTCATCTTTGATCAATTTACTTTAAAAGCTCGTGAACAAAGTACTTCAAAAAAATTATCCAATTAAACTGAAAAGTAATTTTTTAATAGTAAAATTAGCTTTAAACTTTTCAAATGGGCCTGTCAAATAAGCCCTATATTGTGCACTAGAAAGTCACCTCCAGTGATTTAGAAAGTGTATATTTGAGTAGACATGGCAGCAGAACAGGAGTGAATGGAGAAAGGAACACGGATGGGTGCGACTAAAATATCAAAACCGCTACATGTACATTCATTTTGTATATTAAGTTTGATGTTCATGATGTGTCAAAATCATGGTCATTGATTTAAATCACTCTTTTTCAAATCAATGTCCATGATTTTGACATGTCAAAGAATGTCAAACTAGTTGTGTAAAAGGAATGTACAAATAATTTGATTCTTAAAATATTTACATTTATCGTTCTATTATTATTATTATTATTATTTATTTTTCAAATTCGATTTAAAATAAAAGTATTCGGTACATGTTCGAAAAATTTGGGACTGAAGCATGTTATCCTTACACGCCCTGTATTAGTTAGGGTAAGAATCACCTATTTTTGAGATTGAAATTTTGAAGGGAGAAAAAAGAGGGGAGAGGTTTTCTTGTGCTTCGCAGGTTCTGGCTTATAATACTATTGTTTACGCCCGGTGCATCATCAATACGCGACTAGAGCTCTCCAAGACCATCCACCACACGCGTGAGCACAAACTCAGACGAGGACGTGATCCGTGCTTCAGACCGTTCTTGAATATACGCTCAATTGGTCTTTATACAGAATAAATGCCTAAAAAGTTCGTTATATCTCCTCAAACCTAGTTATTTTGACCTTTTTTTTTTTTAAAAAAAAGGTAANGGCTAAGCCAACTTTTAGTCTTAGGCCATGTTTGGTAGGGATTCTCATTTTCTACAGTAAATCAATTCTCATTTTCAACCACACATTCTTCAATAAAATAATATTTTCCATCACATCAATAATTTTTTCTTCTTTTTCAACCACACATTTCCCATCGTATCACTATTCAAAAATCAATTCTTCCCTCAAAAATCCTTACCAAACACACTCTAAATACCCTTTGGTTGGGGAGGAGATAATAACACTGGATTCTGGTCTTAAAAAAAATCCACGTGAACTTGGGGGCCTGTCTGTTCACTACATTTCCAGCAATTGGACCCAGAAGAAAGGCCCGGCCCCTTCTTTCCAGCCCCCCAAAAAAAAACCCATCAGTTGACTGGAAGGAATCCGATGTCCAATTGAACAAGAACCCTGTTGATTCTTTGGGTCCAAAAGACCCATGTTAGAGTTATCTGGCTGAATGAAGGTGGGCGCAATTGTATGGGTAGGCAAATTGGCTAGAGCCTTTTAGGAGACCAGTAGGCCAAAGATGATAATGGACCGAGCTTCCATAAAATGGGGATAAGACCTGTCATCAACACTTACCACCTCCAACGGAGGATGACGAGCCTTAAAAGTCAAGAAAAGTGATTTACAAGGAGCTTTTAACAAAGTAAAATTCTCTTCAGAAACAAATAAAGAATCATATGCCCTCCCCATAACTTTATGTTTAAATGCAAGAAATTCACCCTAAGCCAAATCATTCACCACTGCTTCAACTTCATCTTCTCCAACTAGTTACCAAGAGAACCTCCAACTATCAAGAAACTAGTAAATCGACTCATCAGCAGGTTTATTGGGGCAACTATATCTTTTTCAGTTATCTTTCCAGTCAACATAGCTCTCACCAGTAAATTTTTTTGGTTCAGAATTACAAAATATCACCGCAAGCAGTTCTTCAGATTCAAAAAGTGAATATGGCCAATGTAAGTTCCTCAAAACTGTATATTATCACACACAAAATTTGTAGTTATTACAAAAAAATTATTTCTAATGGTCACAGTTTCACTCATGCCATTTTTTGTGTGCCATTAGGTAGTGGAGTTGAAGGTAGGCTTACACTGTGACGAATGCATCAAGAAAATCTTGAAGACAATCAAGAAGATTGAAGGTACTGTTTAGATTTCCTACCAAAAATTCCTATCCTCAAAATATTGAAGATAAAATCTAAAATAAACATGTTATCTCTCTACCAATTTAAAGTTTTTAGATGTATTAATTCAATATGGTATCGGCTAGTAAAGATATCGGTTCAAATCTTTGTTCCCACTTACTTTCGGACGAAGTGGTATAATACAAACAGCTAGTTTGTATATAAACTCCCAAAATGTCAACAATGCCTATTGATTCTGGATGCAGATATTGAAACATATGATATTGACACAAAATTAAACAAGGTGACTGTAACTGGCAACGTGACAACTGAAGAGGTCATCAGGGTTCTTAACAAGATTGGGAAACAACCAAGTGTATGGGATGAAGACTCAGCAAATCATATTCCAAACTAGACTGCCATTCCTAGTCCATATTTGGAAGCCATAGCTGCATCAGTTTCAAGCATCAGATATATTGTACCAGATCCGATTAATGATACATGCTAAACTATAGCCCCCAAGAAATACTATTGGGATTATTTGTGCACTGTGTTCATTGAAGAGTACTTTGTGGATTTTGGGGAAATGATATATTCATTACACTGATTGACATAAATTGATGGAACTGCTACTTAAGTGGTTGATGTGTTTATTTTGCATAGATGGAAAAATGTAATTCTCATGAATCGCAATAAGACAATTAAAAACAAAAGGATGAAAAGCAAATTGAAGGAAAATTCCGATGAACCTTTCATCCATTTAATTACCAATTTATTTTATAATTACAGAATCACACAAAAAGCGAAAAATAAAAACTACAGGAAAGTCAAGACGAGTCAGTACAAGGAAGTCGCACAGAAACAGTAGATCCATAATCGGAGAGTACTGGATAGCAACTCACTCTAACGCGGCTGCTGAATCGGCCTCGGATTAACCTTCACATTCACGATCTTCGGCGCCTTCTCGCAGTACCTTGGCATCTCCATTCCGCCACGCGCCTTCCTCCACTTTAACAGCCCCAGCGTCACCAAATCCATCTTCCCCTCTTCCTCTGTAGACCAAAGAAAAACACTCCGAGTCAACAAGGAACCAAAACACACGCACGCACATGAACTGAGTCAATGAGCGAGTCACTCGGAGTTTAATTCTACTACACTTACCTTTTCTGGCGTTACCATTGACGATGCCATCGTCAAAAAAGAAGCTTCCTATATCGCCGGAGACTGGAAAATTAGAATAATTAGTATCAGGATTGTCAATTTGGGGGTCGGAAAAGCACTCCCGGAGCCAGTAGTCTCGAAATGAGGCGGAGGATTGAATCAGATCCCACCACTGGTCAGAAAAATCCTCCACCGCAAGGTACGCCGACGGCACAAATATCGGCGCGTTAGGGTTCAGCATTGACGTTGCCATTCTTCCTGCACTCTGCAAAAGAAACCACAGTAAATATACACATTTATACATACATATATAATGTATTAGAGAGAGAGGGAGAGGGAGAGGGAGGAGGAGGATGAGGGGATGGTCCTGAACTGAAGATAGGTTCGAGTTGATGATGATGTTTGGATAATGTGAAGTGAAAGGGCTAAAATATATTGGTTTTGGATAAAAAGGAGTTTCAAGTCACGTGCTTACTGACACGTATGGTGCTATTTTATTAATTTTTTAAAAATATGTTAGGTAAGTTGATCAACGTAGATAAGACTGACACGTAGACATTAAAATTGTATTTTTATATGGATAATCTATTTTAAATAATCAATTCATTTAAATCTATTAAAATCTAAAAAAGTTTATTAAGGCACATCCTATTTAAAAAGTCCATTGGATAATTTAAAATTCATAATTTTTAATTGAAATATAATTCGGTGATTGTAAAAGAAATTAGCGATTTTATCTATAAATAGACCTAAAGTCCAAGAGAAATGATAGGTTGAACTGTAGAAGAAAATCACAAGCAAGCAGAAAATCAAAAGGTCCGAGTGAAGAAGAGTCAAGTTCAAGGTTGAAAATTCGAATAAAATTAGTACACTACTTTTTAACCAAAAAAAAAAAAGGCAACTTACAAAAATATCCCTAAAATTAGAGGTCTTTTGAAAAATCATATGAAAAATATTTTGAAAGTAAAAAAAATCTAAAGTTAAGTATTATTTTTTTAATTAAAAAATGACATATAATATCGTTTTAATTAAAAAGTGATGTTTGTTACTAAAAAAAGATTGAAATTTCAAGAAGGCGACTGAAAAAAGTGACAAACAAAAAAAAAAAGGTGACAAATTCAAAAAAGACACAAACACAAAAAAGTGAGAAACANCCCTTAAAATTATGGATCTTTTGAAAAATCATATGAATAGTATTTTAAAAGTAAAAAATACTGTAACTTTTTAATATAAAAGGTGACACAATGTTGCTTTTTAAAGTTAAATATTATTTTTTTTATTAAAAAATGACATACAAACTCGCTTTTATTAAAAAGTGATGTTTGTTACTAAAAAAAAGTGACAAAAATTTTAAGAAAGTGATAGGAAAAAGTGACAAATATTATAAAAATGTACAAAGTTTCAAAAAGTGATAAATATTCAAAAAAATGGCAAAACACTAATCAAAACTTTAGAATCAATTTCATAAAGTGATAGAAATTAAAAAAAGTGATAACTAAAAAAAAAGTAACAAAATACCAATCAAAACTTTGGAATCAATTCAATAAAATGACTGAAATTTTAAAAAATGATAAAAACTAAAAAAAGTAACAACACTAAAAAAAGTGATGAAACACCGATCACTTTTTCTAGTGGTGTCAATCGAATCGAGCGGTTCGTCGGCTCGGCCGCTCGGCTCATACAGTAGATGCCCACGAGCCGCTCGATCTCGTAAAAAACTAGCACGAGCCGAGCAGGCTGGCTCGCTAGATGAGCTGCTCGACTCGTCACTGTTCACGAGCTCGCAGAGCAGCTCGTGCTCGTCTAATAGGAAAAAAAATATAAAATTAAAAAAAAATTGTGTGACCAGAACGGTCACTGAATTTTTCAGTGACTGTTTGGTCACAATTACGAAAAAAAAAAA